TGAACACACAATTTGGAGAAAGACTTTTTTCGCTTCAATTAATGAGAAGCGAACTCCGATTGAATTCGTATCGACAATAAAAACTAAACTATTTCTTTACTATAACTAAACACAGAACGAACACAACACTTTTATCACTTTTTACACGTTAAAAACTTACATAGCTCGACGGCTATCGAAATGTACATTAAATGTAAGTTTTTAACGTGTAAAAAGTGATAAAAGTGTTGTGTTCGTGCTGTGTTTAGTTATACTATCCTTTTTACGTGATTTCGATATAAAATAATTATTTCTTTACTAACGATTTTAAGTGTTGTTTCGTCAATGAATGACCAATCACAAATTATTTTATCATTTTCGTCACTCATTGGAGGACGAACACGAGCGAAAATTCTTATATTTCCTTTCAGGTCTAGCACTGTATTTAGCAAACGGGCCCGCTCTTTGTGGATTCCTTGTAGTTTTTCCTCCATCTCCGCTGTTTTAATTTTTAAAGCCTCGTGCTCTTCTCGCTCTTTGTTTAAAGCACTGGCAAGTGCAGCATTTTCTTCCTTTAACATTATGAGAGAATCCACAGGCCCAACTCGAATTTGTTGTACATTGGTTGAATCCCTCAGCACATTGTCTTTTTTTTGTTTGGGTGGTTCTAAAAAGATTTAAAAAAGAAACTCAACTTAATATACATATCAGAAAGGACATAAAGACAATGGCACGATTAAAGGAGCAAATGAATGAAATTCTTGTAATTTAAACGCTTATCGTCCGGCGTATCTGGAACAAAACAACCTTGATAGTTGATGATGAATCTCACTCAGAAGTTAAAAATTGAACTAAATTTATTAATTTTTAATTTTTTAATGCAAACTTGATTCCAAAAGGACACACAAAGAAATGAACACACAATTTGGAGAAAGACTTTTTTCGCTTCAATTAATGAGAAGCGAACTCCGATTGAATTCGTATCGACAATAAAAACTAAATGTTTGTCTTAATTTTTTTTTTTTTCGCTGACGATACCGATCAGTCATATTCTTATACAAAACATCAGCAAGTGATTCGGTATTTCAAGTTAGTCTGAACTCAATTTTCGTTGTGTCAAATTCCGTGAAATTTTCTTCCTTGTGTGATTTTTGCCGAAAGTAGAAGAAAGTGAAAAATTATTTAAGGTGAACAATGAAGAAGCGTCTTATCATTCGCATATCTATTGATTAAATAATAATAATACTTATCCCATTTTGCTATAAACTTAAAATATGTCTCTACCAAATTTGATTTAACATTCCATTACGAAGAACGAATCAAGCTTCCGCTCATGAATCAATTATTTATACATTTTCCTTTTTATATTTGGCAAAATTCATGACTTTCTATGACAAATCACTGCTTTGAATATAAAAATTCATTTCTTCTTAACAATCGCTTATCATGATAAAAAAAATACAAACTGAGAACGGAACGACGTCAACAACAACCGTTCACTCAATGACAATTGGTGACAAACTTTGTACTTGAAAACGAATGTATAAAAGATGTAAAAATCATTAGACATTCCATCATATTTTATGTGCTCATTGTCGCTATCATCGAATGTCCGCGTTCAGTGAGAAATAATTCAATTTAAAAATATTTTCCAACTATTTACTCACTTGGCTCTCGGTTTCTTCCATATCACTCATCTTGCTATATGTCGCATCCACCTACGAAATTATTAAATAAAGAAGAAGAAGATGAGGATGAAGAGGGAAGAGAAAAGCAAAAAATAAAAAAAAAGATCAGCATAGATATACACAAAAAAAGAAAATTATTTATAAACATTCGCGTTGATTTTTAATAGCCACTTACAACATCATTCATGCTAAGTAGTAGCGCGAAAATAAATATTGCGATCACTCTCGTGAATGTATTAAATGAAACTTAAATTTTAATTTAATTATTAGATCGCTTTCTATTATTGCAAAAATATTAAAAAAGAAATTTTTGTTTTTACTCTGCTCACCCTGATAGCTGATCCTTTGCCAAACGACATGAAATAAAGAAATTAAAATTAAGAAGCAAGAACAATCCTTCTGAAAATGTTTTGGCGCGCGAATTTTACATAAAGTGTGCAAATGTCACGTTCCTACTTTTGATGTTTCTTTTCCTACACACATTTTGATTGTCGGGGGTTAAAGAGCAACAAGTGATTTTTATTTGTGTTATTTTCTTCCGCCCACAATAATATTCGCTCGGCTCTCAATTAACGTCACACAAAGGCAATAAAAGTAGTAAGAAGCATTTGGTGTTTCTTTTGCGCGTCAAGTCAGACGAATATTTTATTGACATGATTATCTGTTGCGGTTTATTGATTTGTTTCGTTGAAAGAAAGCAAAAAATAATGTGAAATGATTTTCTTTCTTCATTACACTCGTCTGCTTTCGCATGTTGATAGATTTTTCACGATTGAAATCTCTTATATCGTCAAAGTGTTCGGACATCAAACGCTTGAGTAGCTCATAATGTTTGAGAGGAAAATAAACGAAGTAAACATTCTCTTCCATTTATTTATTTATTATTTTTGTGTCTGCCAACAAAGAGCAGACAAGAATTTTAATCTTTTCTAAGTATCGTATCGTTATTCTATAATGTCTTGTATTCCATCTTACTGCTCTAATCAAGCCATTTACCATCAAAAACAGCAGGCTTTTGATTACTTCATTGTCAAGCGAGTAGTTCCAGCTGTTTTTCTTCTCTCTCTCTTTCCGTTTATGATTGTTCAAAAGGAAAAATGCTTTTCATCGTGAACAACTCTTGTGCTACTATTTTCCTGATTTAATTGATATCGTTAAAACAATAATGAAAGAAACACTTTCATGTTCTCCAACTCATTTACTTTCCTGCCAACATTTCGTTTTTCCTCTTCTCGAATATAAGAAGAAGAAAGAAAAGAAAGAAAAACAAAGTCCATGTTATGAAAACATAAACATTTCTCATTTGTTTGTTCTATAATTAATTAGGCAATGGACATGGGATTGATTCATAAATCGCGTTTCTTTAATTATTATTTAAACTTTACTACTTATTGTTATGGAAATGTTTAATTTCTTACGTCCTGTCTGCAAATCATTTTCACACGTAATGTGACTTGTTTTTATTGAAAGTTTGTTTTCCCAAGGAAAAGCTTTGAATCTGATATTCATTTCTCACGATAACATCATCGTCAATCGATTCTATCGCTTAATGGATTTCATTTCATGAAATCCATTCGTTTATATTTCAATTCCATTCATTTCCTCTGATTACATCTAAATAAAACATTCTCATCTCACTCATTATGTTATCGTCGTGTTTTATAATTCCAGCTAATTTATTCCATTCCATCTTTGAAGTCGCCTGCAAAGCGCCCTTTACATCATCGACTTGTGTTCTTGCATCAATAGTTACTTTATGTTAGTGTTGTGCAAAAGCTATAGCAGTTTCTATTCAAATTTTCTGTACTTTACTTAATTTACCTCCCCCTGTTCAACATTCAAGTTGAGCCCATTTGAATTAAACACACGAAAAAGAAGACCAAAGCAAAGCAATTCGCCCGCTTTTTTACCTCCACTATTTCCCACCTTTAAGCTTCTCAAATTGCAAAAACGAAAAGAAACAATATGAAAACTAAATAAATAATGCATGAATTTGTAAATCGCTGAAAGTATCAGGGCAGTGAAAATTCATCATCAAGTTCTAGTAGAAGTTGAAACGTCAAAACGATTGCAAGTAAAAACTTTTCACGTCAAATTTTAAAAACAAAAATATAAAAATAAAGAAGAAAAAAGATGGAAATGCAATTGCAAGAGATCCCTGAAGATCCAAATGAAGATGAAGAAGGAAAGTCACCTCCATTATCATCAGCAACTGCTTATGAAAAACTTTTACACGCTGTACACGATCCAAAATTTTCACATGAAGTTACGCTTGAAAAGCGAGTCGGATTGTATAAATTTTGTGGAGATATTGGACGCGGAAACTTTTCAAGAGTGAAGAAGGGAATTCATTTATTGACCAAAGGTATGAACTACAAAATTACATCAATTTTCAATTTTAATTGAGCAATTAAATGATTCTCTTTGAACATTTAGATAAGGTGGCCATCAAAATCGTAGATAGATCAAGATTGGACACTAAAAACTTGCGAATGTTATCGAGGGAAGTTTCGACATTGGAATGTGTTCAACATCCTTACATTCTTCGATTATTTGAAGTCGTTGAAACATTAGGTCGAGTTCACTTAGTAACTGAATATATTCAAGGTGGAGAGCTTTATTATAAAATCGTTCAAAATGGAGTCTACAACGAAGGCAAAGCACGAAAAATATTCAAGCAATTAGTACTAGCAATTCAGCATATGGTAAGATAAGAAACTTTTGAGGGTAATTTAGTAATTATACTGATTTGGAAACTTTTAATTTGATGCCAAAAAGTGTCCCACTTTTCAATTTTTTAGATGTTCAACCCAAAGTTTTCATAATCTCGATTAATTATACGCATTTGGAACTTTTCCCTAATTATTTACACGTTCATTTCAAATATTATTTTAATTCATTTTAAAGCATCATCTTGGCTATGTTCATCGCGATGTTAAAGCTGAAAATGTGTTGGTGATAGCAGAAGAGCATGTAAAGTTGGGAGATTTTGGATTTTCGACTCAAATCACTGGACCTCAACATTATTTAAATACTTTTTGTGGTTCACCACCTTACGCTTCTCCTGAACTTTTCAACGATGATCATTATATTGGTGGACCTGTTGACATTTGGGCATTAGGAATTTTATTGTTTTTTGTTCTCATTGGAAACATGCCATTCTCAGCACCAACAGTTCCACAATTACGTTCAACAATACTCAAAGGCGAATATCGAATTCCAGGACATTTCACACAGTCATGTATTAAATTGATTCGTAAGTATTTTTTCTTTGTTTGTGTAAGAAGATGATTGTTTACTGTAAGATAACAAATTTCATTAGAATGCATTTTACTTCATAATCCGATGCATCGACCAAACATTGATCAAATTTTACATTGTGACTGGTTACAACAACGAGCGAAAAAACCACTATCACCACTTCAGGATGCACGTACAATTATTCAGAAGAGAAAGAAATCTTCATTCTGGTGCTCAAAGTCACGGAAAACTTCACCATTGTCACCGAGTCCACCATTAAGACAACCAGAACCGATTGAATGTTATACAAAAAAGTACAATAATATTCCTGTGGAAAAATTCAAGAATCCACTTGATACAGGTACATCATTGTCATCAGCCACAACCGTTGTTCCTATCCATAATAATTTAAGCAACTTTACACGTAACAATTCCCTTATCAATAGCTCAAAAATTGTTCATAAACAGAATAAAAATGGAACAGTTGAAATTGTTCAGAATAACGATGTTCTCCAAGTTCGATCATACTCAGATGACGAGCCATCAGATGAGTCAAGTGTTGAGAGTGAAAAAGATTTTGATAAATTTATGATGTTTCCAACAAAAACAAATCTGGATGAGATTTTACTCAGAGCACTGCCAGCTCTTGAACAAGAGACAAGAAAAATTATGAGAACACTTGGAATAAGCGATGAGATGCTGGAAAAGAATATCGAGCAAGGACCAAGGAGTGAGATCATTGGAATTTATCGAATAGTCATTATGAGATTGAAAACTCAGAAGGAACAAGCAACAATAGTTAGTCATCATTCACCTGTAATTAACGATAAACTAAATAATAATCACAATCAAAAGTTAAAAAAAACCAAGAACGCTACAAGATGTGCCATACTTTAGATTCATTTAATTAGTTTGTTAAATAATCATATCGCATAGATTCAATTCTATATGTCCCAAAATGAGAAAGAAAACACCATGTGATAAGAAAATCTAGTAAAATTTGAAATAAATAAAATGATATTTTTAATTTTCGTGAAGAATTGACTGCATTATTACATTCTTTTTTATTAGAAAGAAAAATTAATTTCTGATAATTCTACCTGTGCATGTCTACACTTATGTAGGCTCGGTTTGAGTTGTCTAGATAAGTTTCTAAAAAGTTTAACGTATTTCTCATATTCAAATTGGGAAGCGACTTCGCTTCTTTTAGAATACATATTTTTTCAATTGAAAACAAAATCAGCCTTTTGGTAAAAAATCATAAATTTTCTTTATAAAAAATGGGGTTTAATTTAGCAGCAGCATCTTATATAGTTGCTCTTATTTGTGATGCATTTCTTATATTTTTCGCTATCTTTCATACAATAGCTTTTGATGAATTGAAGACAGATTACAAGTAAGTTTATTTTTAATTTTTTTGTAAGATTTTATGCAACATCATAAATTGCAATCGTTTTTAAAAAATCTTAATTAATTTACTATTTTTAGAAACCCCATAGATTCATGCAACTCATTGAACCCACTCGTTCTACCAGAGTATGCAATTCATATCTTAATTAACATTTTCTTCTTAATTGCTGGCGAATGGCTTTCGCTAATTTTAAATGCACCTTTAATTGCTTACCATATCTGGCGTTACAAGAACCGACCTCAGGGAATGACAGGTCCAGGATTGTATGATCCAACAAATATCATGAACTCTGATACACTCTCAAAAGCAATGAAGGAAGGCTGGATAAAGTTGGGCGTTTATCTTCTGTCGTTCTTTTATTACCTTTATGGGTGAGTCCAAAAGCTCATGAGCATTAAAATTTAAAACAGTCTAGAACTAACATGTTTTTTTTCAATTATTTTAGAATGATCTCATCTCTTATCGCAACATAAAGCAACGATAAAAGAAACTATGACGATGTTAAATCAACATGGTTCTAACATTCAAAAAATTATTCATGAATTATTCATATTGTTTTTATTTTTTCTTTTCTTCATTAACTTTGTAGTGGTTTCATTGTTTTACAAAAAAAATACATCTTGATTAATAATAGACATTCATTTTCTGTAGATATGATAACTTCACTTTTTGGTTAAAAAAATTTGCTTTTCTTTATAAATTTAGATAAACTAGATCTTGTATAAATTGTGAAATCGCTACACAACATCATTAAAAGAAGAATAGCGAATATTTATTTGTTTTTTTTCATTTATTTTTTATTTCTATTTGGTTGGTTACTTCTGAATATTTGAAGTTTGTAAGTTTGATGTGAATCACAAAAATTTGTGATTTAGGTATTAAAAGTTGTAAAAATTACTCAGTAAAGCTTTAATTTTCAACTTCTCTAACATTCAAACGTGTCTAAATATTTACTTTAAAGCCTTAATTTTATATTTCTACCTGTTCCTAAGTTCCCAAAGAGTTTTTGAGCAATTAAAATGCTTAAAATACAAATTCTAACATTTAAAAGGAGACATGGGGCAAGAGAGAAAAAAGTTGTCAACAGAACTTTAATATCTAAAAATATCTAGTGGAAAAATCTGTCACCAGCGTTGTTTCATGTCTTTTAAAAAGCTTCTTCTCTAGGTAGTTTTCTTTCTAATTTAGGTATATTATAAAATTCACTGTAGGTAATGTTTTGGTTTTTGATTCTCTCGTATTACTTCTTGTAAAAAATTTATGGTAGCAAAATGGCAAGATTACTGAACAATATTTGTGTGATGTTATTTCTTTCTTCGATTTAATGTAATTTTTCACGAAGCCATTCTTCCGTAAAATCTTCAATGTCACGAATTTCATATGATCGTGTAAGATCTGCTTCCTTTTGTAACAATAATTTACTGCGTGCATACAGAACTTGAAGTTCCATCTAAAAATAGAAATGATTGAGTTAAGACTATTAAATGTAATCGGAAACAGACAATTTACCATTGAATCGCGTGGTGTATAAAAAATGAAACACATTGGATAAGATATTCGGTCATCATGAATCATTTTATATGAGTAGACGATGAATCTTGGCTGATGTGACGGAAGCTGTTCCTGGAAGTATATAAAACAAAAGAAAGATAAATAATATCATTGAAAACACATTTAATTACTTAATTTTAAATACCTGCAGTTCTTCTACGCTTACTTCTTCAAGGAATTCGTCAATCACAATTAATTGCTTTTCACGATCAACTTTCACTACAAAAACGCAAATAAATTTTTTTAATCATTTGTTTTATGTGAAATAATGTAAAAATGTAAACACTCACAAATCAAAGCTGATGATTCATTATTTTTGGCAAAACGGAACTTTCGTAGTTCTTCCTTGACTTCTTGACTGATATCACACATTGTGATGGCTTAATATCACTGTATAAAGGGAAATTAAAGAAGTTTTCAGGGAAACTATGAATCACTTTATTTCATAAAATATTTTGTTTACTCGACTTAAAGAGGTTTAAACGCTGATGCAAAAACATTGTAAGAAAGTCTCATTATATAAGGGTTTCACCAACCAGCGTGGGCCAGCGTGGGCCAGCACATTTGCCAGCGTTTGAAAACTATTTTTCCATATAAATTTTAAAAGTTGGAAAATCNTATGAATCACTTTATTTCATAAAATATTTTGTTTACTCGACTTAAAGAGGTTTAAACGCTGATGCAAAAACATTGTAAGAAAGTCTCATTATATTGTGTTGTAAAACATTGAAAACATTCCGTAAAACATTGAAAACATCAATTCTTATGCATTAAGTCCGATCAAAGCTCTTCTTATTAAGACGTATTTAAACAATAATGGAAAAATTAAAAGTAATTTCCTTAAAAGATTTGCCCAAATTAAGAGATTTATATAAAGCTAGTTGGCCATTGCACTGTGCAACTCATTCAACAATTCAAGTATTTGTTGATCGTTTCGAAAAACATCCGAAATGGATGGAAAAAGTGAAGTTCTTATGTTTCGGTGAAAGTTGGATACGCGTGGGAGCTTTCGTAATGATTTATGAAAATCGAGTGTTTTTTAATACTTTAGAATCATTCCCATATGATGAGCTTAAGAAACTTCTTCTAAGAGTTGAAATGCCTGATATGGCAGCTTTTGTGAATATTCGTGACAGTCTGAGATCACTTCTTTTTGATGTTATTCGAATTCATCATCTTGAAGTTATTAGTGATATCGGAACAAAATCTTATCTATGGCCTAAACAACTGCTTGATAAAGTAGAACCTGAGTAAGCATTCAAAATTACAAAATACTATTTTTTTAATTGTTTCAACTGAATTTTAAAAAATAATTAATTAATTAGGATCCCAAGTGACATTGAACTTAAACCTATCAGAAAAGAAGATTTGAAAAAAATTAACTCTTTATGGGTTGGAAAACACAAAAACTCCGAAAAGTTTCTCGAAGACTTGATTAAGTATAATCCAAGTGTGGGTGTATACAATAAAAAAGGAGAAATTTTAGCATGGAATATGAG